TTTTTCATTTTCCGAAAAATTATGACAAAAAAAATACAACTTCAAAAAACTCGCCATGCCTCTTATGAAGTACATCGGACTGTCTACTTTGCAAGAAGTGGTCATTTGGGGGATATCTGTACTATTCTGACATTCTTGGACCTCAAGAAATTAGATTGGCTGTCAGTACTTCAGGATTGATCAATATTCAGATCTATACCATAGTTTGTGAACTCTATAAACTTTCCTACAAACTAAAAAATACATCCTAATATGGGTTATTTTCACCAAAGACATGTAGTAGAATACATCTCAGCCTAAATTTATGAAGAACAATTATTTATTTGCAAACTTTTATAACAGAAACAAAGAAAAACGTGTTTTTTTTTCAAAATTTTTGGACTTTTTTGTTAATTTAGCAAAAAATAAAAACCCCAGCGATGATTAAATACCACCAAAAGAAAGCTCTAGTTGTGGGAAGAAAATGATAACATTTTAGTTTGGGTACAATGTTGTATGACTGCGCAATTGTCATTCAAAGTGTGAGAGCGCTGAAACCTGAAAAATGGCCTGGGCAGGAAGGTGTAAAATTGCCGGTATTGAATTGGTTAAAAACAAAAAACACTACAAGTGAGTTTTGCAGTGCCACCCTGATGCAATGGAATGCAGCCCTGATGCAAAATACTGCATGTATTTTTCCATTTTGGTGGTGTGTTGGTAGCCCATATATTTAAATAGACTGTTGTAACTCAACGAGTGTTAACACATATGCACCAGCACAAGATGTTAACACGGTCTTAAACAACTCAAAATTTAGCCTCTTCCTGCTGCCTCCTCCTGCCTCTTTAACTAGACCAAAATACCGGGAGGGGGAAGCAGGCATTCCTATCACGTGTTGTTATTGGCTGTCACAGTAACCACATGATTGGAAAGCTCCTAATCAAATTATGCATCAGGACCTTTCCATTACATGTTAGTTGTTGTGCTTGGAACACTCTTTTGGAGTGGCAGGGAGACCCATCTCTCTGAAGTATCAAAAAGAGCTTCCAGATATGTCAACCACCGGATCAATATCAGTTTATTCTTCCTGTGGTTAATAATCCAACCAAATGTTTGTAGGTTTTATCTTATCTTAGTACTTATCTGTGGGCCAAGAGTTGTTTGACCTGAAGGCCATCAGAAGGATGGTATAGAGGTTATGGTGGATGCAAAGACCTTGTTTTCTGAGGGTGGCCAGCACTTTGGTAAAGGTCCCTGGACTAGACGGAGAGAAAGTCTCTGGAATTACAGATGGGTTTGCCAAATTTGTTAACCTTAGGTATGGGTTATGGTCTATAAAGACTTTCTTTTGAATATTAGGTACACCTGTCTAATTGCTTGGTAACACAAATTGCTAATCAGCCAATCACATGGCAGCAACTCAATGCATTTAGACATCTAGACGTGGTGAAACCAACTTGCTGAAGTGCAAATCGAGCATCAGAATGAGGAAGAGAGGGGATTTACGTGACTTTGAATGTGGCATGGTTGTTGGTGCTAGCCAGGCTGGTCTAAGTATTTCAAAAACTGCTGATCTACGGGGATTTTTACACACAACCATCGCTAGGGAAATCGAGACTCATAAGGCCAGGCAACATTTTTCCAATCTTTTTTGTCCAATTTTGGTGAGCCTGTGCGATTTGTAGCCTCCATTTCCTGTTCTTACCTGATTGTTGATTAGTCTAATTGTTGACTGGGTTTACAATGGTGACAGTTATCAGTACTTTTGCCTTCCGAGATGAGTTGTAGAGTTTTCAAACATCCAGAAGTGGCCATACTTGACCACTGAGATCTCCCAAGAATCTTAACAAAGGTTCACCCAGACCTGTGCAAAATAACTGACTCGGGTCCCAACAGCACCTGTCTGGGCAGGGAGGTACTCAAAAGACTTTGAAGGGTCATGCCAGAATCGTGAGGGACTTCTGTTTCTGAGATATTAGAAGATTGCCTGGTGCTCTTCTAGCTTTTTTAAAATCTTTCCACTGGTGAAACAGTCTACAGACTCTGGACCTTGCTTGCTTGAGCCCACTTGAGAAAGGTCTTGCACATCTTAACCTCCTGCCCTGTTGGAAGAGGCCTGGTTTCCCAAAAGTAACTCTAGAGATGGCTGTCCCCATGTTCTTTCCAAAAACAAAGATATTCAATAAATGGATTGCTTCATCAGTTTTGTTTAGAGGAATTTTCAACCACCCAGGTCTTTAGCCATAGGGCCCTATTGGTGCTTACAACATAAATTGTTTAGTTGCCTCCTTGCAGAGCATCAGATGGTGTTTATTGCTGCCTAACTGCCATTGAAGTTGCTGCCTCTCGTCAATAAATTCCTCCATAACTGGAAAAATAGGATGGACCTTTTTTTTGGAGAAAAATGGAGAGGAAGTACATCTTCATTTTCTTTAAACCTATGGCTTGTTTAAATGTTTGCATACATTTGTACAAAGTCAAAATTGAAACCAGAAGGCTCTGACTCCTCTGAACAGCTGTGATAGCCCACCATAAGCTGCTCGTTTTTATGTAGTGCTTGGGTTAATGGAAGTGGGGAAGAAGCATCAAACAATAGGCCTAGAGAGGGGGGGGGGGGACTGGGAAAATGCTGCAGTGAGTAAACATTGATAGATGCTATCTGATGACTTTCTTGATCTTGTTCATTAGATAGCTGTACATGCCATCTTATTTGATATGGGTTTGCCCATCAAGGCCAGAATGTATTTCCCTTAAGCTTCTGAGAGTGTTCTGTGGATGAGGAAAAGTGATGACACTCCTGAATTTTTTTCTGGCTAATTGGCCTATCCTCATCAGACTATCTGATGCTGTGATAATCTCTTAGACTCTCTAGATTGTCATCAGGCAAAGTGGAATAGAAAATATTCAGGCATTGGAAGTTAGAAGCATTGGAAGTCCTTTACTTAGTGGACATGTGAGGATCTTGTAATTGTAGAGAGTGAATCATTACTGGTAGTAACACAAAAATTTAGTATAATTAATAGTAAAGGAAAAAATATCCTGAAGGCTGGAAAGGAATACAGTATGAGTGATCTACTCGTGAAGCAAAGTAACCCTTTAAGGAGGTACTAAGGCATTACAAGAGACTCCCTGGGCAGGGGCCTGCTACTGCATTGACACCGCTATTAAAATTATTGGGACAGAACCCTTGTCAAAAATGGCACCCAAACCTTTTAAGGCCCATCATGAATGAGCACATATGCATGCTGGTGACATAATGGTACTATCCTGTGCAGAAGAGATGACCAAGTGTGCATGCCAAACAAACCAACAGCGAGTAGAAAAGGAAACCTGGGGATTAAAAGACACACAGAAAGGGGACCATAGAGTTTGCAGTAAGGACAGCCAAAACATATAGGCTAAAATCAGGTTAGATAACAGATAAAGGTGCTGTCTAAAAAAAGGAATAGACCAATGCTGCTAACGCTGTTACCAAAGACAGCACAGACACCATAGCTAGGCAATATTGTTCTTAGCTAGAAAGTACTAAAAGGCCCACAAGACCTTCCAGAATGAGCTACCAAACTATTAGCAGCCTAAGACCTAAGACAATATTTGTGAGAGGTTAAACCCAGGTGGATGCTGAACTAAGGCAGAGGTAGAGACATTCACTTCACTGGACTGTGGTTTAGAAGTCTGAGAAATAGAGGAAAACAAGGGTTAATTATTCTCATTTAAAGTGGTTCTAAAGGCTTACGTTTTTGCTGCTGTCAGTCACAGCCAGTGAGCCAATGAGGAGAGAAAAGGGGTGGGGCCAAGCCACAGCTCCATGTGTGAATGGACACACTAAGCAACAGCTTGGGAGTACATCTGCTCAGGTGCCCCCATAGCAAGCTGTTTGCTATAGGGACACCCAACAGGATAGAGGAGCCTGGAGCTCCAAAGGAGGACCTGAGAAGAGGAGGATTGGGGCTGCTCTGTGTCAAAACCACTGCAGAGCAGTGGTTTTTATGACTGTGTTTGCTATTTAAAAAAAAAGCCAAGCCTTTAGTATCGCTTTAAGCTACGTGTCCTGAGGGCAGGGTTAGAGGCAAAGCTCTATTATTAGTATGCTGCCATGTAGGCACCAAGAAAAGCCTTTTTTTTTATTGCTGTCTGTGTGGATATAATTGGATAGTTCCTATAACTTTCTGTCTGGTAAAACATTATTATTGGGACAAAATTTGAGGGGAAATTCCCTGCTATATGTATTAAACATTTAAATACAAACTTTTGAATTTATATTGTTAATATAATTGTCTCTGTTGTAATGGGAATCCAACGATAAATTAGCACTGGGTAATTGAGATATACTGTATTAAAAAAAATTATACATTTCTTGGAAGTCTGGCGTAATTAGTCCCAGTGGAGCAATCCAAGATGCAATAGAAAACAAGCTGGAATCCTTTTATAAATGTATGCATATAAACAATGATGAGACATTTACTGCAGACTTGTTGGAGCTTTATGACAAGTCCAGTTCAATACATCCTAAGTATATATTGATACGTATATTGATACATTATGGTGCTTGTTTTTACATTTGGGACATACAGCTCCAAATATATGTTGGTATAGAGAAGACCATATATTAGATCAAATGTACTATATGTATTCTTAACGAAATGATGCTTGAATTGTGTAAACAACCATTTTTTTAATGTCTCTTCCTGAAAATCTGCTAATCTATATTTTACATTTGAAGAAGATTTTTGAACGTGACTGTTAAAAAATTAGATATAACATGGTGAAAATTGACTTGTCTCTTACTGAAAATACATTTTATTTATTTAAACAGTGCCTTCTGCCTGTTAAAATAATGATGGTTGCAAAGACTAACATAACCATTGTAACACATTTCAAGCTACTGGGATTTCCTCTATATCCATATACAACTGTTTTAGTCTTCTGTCTTGCATTGTTTTGCTATATTGTCACAACAAGTGGGTGGGAATTTTCTTATCATTTCATTAGTATTTCTAAACAGGAAACTTCAAAGACCTATGTATTTTTTTCTGTGTAACTTAGCTTTTATTGATATTTGTTTTATAACTACCATAGTACCAAACTGGTTAAAGGACATCTTAAGTATACAGAAGTCTATATCTGTATTGGCTTGCTTAACTCAGTCATATGTTTTCTTTCTTTCTGGAATAGCTGAATTTCTAATCTTGGCTGTAATGTCTGTTGACCGATACATAGCAATCTGTTTCCCCCTGCAATACTCTACCATGATTAGTAGACACTTTTGCATTCAAGTCATAATTGGAGTGTGGTTTGGTTCATTCGTTTCTCTGTTGATTCCTTCTTACTTAGTAATGAGCTTGACATTCTGTGTTTCTGAGATTGATCATTTTATGTGTGACGTAGGTCCACTCCTAAAGAATGCCTGTATAAACACAGCTCACATTGAAAAATGTGTTCTTGTGTCATCCAGTGTTGTCATGATTTCTTCTTTGTGACCTTTATATCTTATGTAAATATAATTATTGCAGTTGCAAAAATTAGTCATGGAGGAAAAGAGAGGATTATTTCGACATGCTCTTCCCATGCTGTAGCAGTATCCCTTGTATATGGTTGCTGCATATATGTGTATTCCCAACCAAATAGTCAAATATATATTTTATTAAGAAAAATGTGTCTGTAATGAATTCAATCATCGTCCCTTTAATAAATCCTTTTGTTTATACTCTAAGAAACCAACACTTTCGAAATATTGTCCATGATAACTACTTGAAA